CACCTTTCCACAATCCGAGTCTTTAAAGCAGAAGCGGTCCCTACTACGATTTCACTTTACAGGGTCGAGGTCTGATTTTCACAGGAAACTCATGTCACAGATGCTTTCCCTTCAACCCAGATCCAGTTATTGGAAACAAAGATGTACATGTCACACACACACAAAAACAAAAAACCAGAAAATAGTTCAAACAAAGGGACAGGAGAAAATGAAAATCTCTACCATTTGTCAAAGGGCCCATTAAGCTCATTATTTTCTGAAAGGCAATCTTTCGGCCGTCTTTTGTCAGTTCCAAGTTTAGAACCGCACATTCAGGATGTGAAGGTGGAAATGAAGCTAAGAGGGGCTTGACTAATGCTATTTTTAAGCCAGTCCACGTGTTCTCATGGGATGGGAGGGGAGATGCAAATATTCATTAGGAAAGGAGCACCTCATTGGCTGGAAGCTCTGCTTCTGCTGCCTCTAGCATTGGCACAGCTGGGAACCATCCCATAGCCCTCCCAGCCCCAGAACACCTCAGTGTCCATGGCTGGCTTCCTACTGTGGCTGCAGCTACTTCTGAACACCTGGCAGGGCTTCCCTAGCCTTACTACCTACAGTTCCAAGGGTCCCTGTTCAGTCCTCCCCTCTTCTCCATTCTTCAGCTTTTCCAAGGTTTCCACCTTTCATGACACAGAAAAACGAAAAGTGAGCTCATTGTAACCCACAGGGCTGGGTATTCTTGATCCCCTTGACTGGGTAAGCAAATCACTTTTGTTGGTTTTTCTAACCTGTTGGCCTCTGATACAAACAGCCCCTCTAGCAGTAGAGCTGGTGTTTGCAAGTGGGGCCCTGGAGCTGGAGTTCCTGGCTTTGAACACCTGCCCTACAATTTCCTGGTTGTATGACCCTAGAAAAGATAATTGGCTTCTCTAAGCCCCAGGATGATCAACATACTTACCCCAATAGAGTAATTGTGATGATCAGAAACTATTATTCATGGAATGCTGCCTAGAATGAATACTGTGCTCCAAAAATTCATGTGCACCTGAGATCTGTGAAGGTGACCTTATTTGGAAATAAGATATTTGCAGCTGTAATCAAGTTAAGAAGAGGTCATATTGGATTAGGGTAAAAAGAGGGAAATTGGGACACAGAGGCACACAGAGGGAAGATGGCTATATGGTAACAGAGACACAGATTGGAGTGACCCTATCATAAGTAGCTATAACTTAGGACCAAGTGAAAGAATGTCAAGAATTGCTGGCAACTACCAGAAGCTGGAAAGAGGCAAGGAAGGGTATTTCCTTAGAGTCCTTAGAAGGAGCACAGCCCTGCTTCCAGCCTCCAGAGCTGTGAGGCAATGTCTGTTGCTTAAACCGCCAAGTTTGTGGAATTTGTTACAAAAGCCTTAGCAAACTAATTGTAGATCCTTTCATATAATACCTGGTACATAGTAAGTGAACAATCAATATATAGGTGTTTTTTATTAGCCTATCAATGTGTCTAGACATAGTAGGTGTTCAATAAATGTTTATGGAATAAAATATGTAATGTTACTACATCTCCTTGAAGTGTATGTTAAAATATATTTCTAAATAAGTCTTTATGCAGAAAAAATTATAATATTAGGATATTTAGTGTTAACAGTTTTTAAACAATTTTAAACCTAAGATTAGCACAACAAGTAAATTATGGTATCTCCATATGGCAGAATTATATATATTCTGCAATAATTAAAAAGCGTTTGTGGCCGGGCATGGTGGCTCACACCTATAATCCCAGCACTTTGGGAGGCCAAGGCACATGGATCATGAGGCCGGGAGTTTGAGACCAACCTGGTCAACATGGTGAAACTCTGTCTCTACTAAAAATACAAAAAGTAGCCAGGCGTAGTGGTGCATGCCTGTAATCCCAGCACTTTGGGAGGCCAAGGCACATGGATCATGAGGCCGGGAGTTTGAGACCAACCTGGTCAACATGGTGAAACCCCGTCTCTACTAAAAATACAAAAAGTAGCCAGGCGTAGTGGTGCATGCCTGTAATCCCAGCTACTCAGGAGGTTGAGACAGGAGAATTGCTTGAACCCGGGAGGCGGAGATTGGGGTGAGCTGAGATCGTGCGACTGCACTCCAGCCTGGATGACAGAGCAAGACTCCATCTCAAAAAAAACAATTTGTAAGGATTTTAATATTATTAAATATTTTGAAATAAAATATATTATTTCAATGTAGAATTTTTTAGTATCATAGAAAATAAGTTATGATGAAGTTAAATGAAATAATAATATAACACTATTAGGTTAATCTATATTAAAATATGCATTAAAAGGTTGGAGTAGTTACCTATAGGTCATTATAAGTGATTCTTTTTCTTTTTTTGTGTGCTCATTTTCATATACATTTGCTATAGTGAGTGTGTCTTACATTGATAATAAACAGAAATTTTACCTTTAAAAAAAACCAATTCAGGTAGCAAAATATACATGTAATGTAACAGTATATACCTTCCCATTCTTCGTTATATTGTGCCATGGATTTTATAAACCAGAGTGATTTGTGCTTGTGTGTCTAAAAACAGTATTTGCAAAATGAATTACTTTGGACCAAGTTTATATCTACAGCATGAAGAGTAATCATTTGTTGGCTTGAAATGGCATTGTATTTTGCAGAGAGCTATGTTCCTGTGAAATATTGACTGAGGCCCTGTCTCAGCTTGAAAATATAAAATGTGTGAAATAAATCAATCAATAAGTACTATTTTGATGATCATGATGTGCTTGTTATTGTACTAGGCACTGGTGGTTGAAAAGAAATTTAACCAGAGAGTTTTAGAGTACAAAGAAGCATTAATGATCACTCATTTCAACATTCTACCCAGAAAATGAATGTTCTCTTTTATAAAGCTAGCTGGGCACTGTGATAAAGCATAACTTTGGTGGACTCCAATGATGTATTCATGTTTTATGTGGTTCCCTCCCCTTGAATTTGCTCTGGCCCAGTGACCCTTTTTCAACCAACAGAATGTGGCAGAAGTGATGCTACGCCAGTTCTGGGCTTAAACCTTAATCAGGCCTTGAAACTGCTCTTCTGTCTGGATGAAGGTAGATATAACATAAGAACTACTGGTGACCATCATGCTCTGAGAAGCCAGCCTAACCATGTGCAGAGGCCACATGGAGGAAAACCGAGGCCGCCAGTCAACAGCCCTAGATGAATTTCCGGCTGCAATCAGCACTAACCTGCCAGCTATGAGTGAGGCCATCTTTGAAGTGGATCCCTCAGCCCCACTCAACCCACCCAGATGATGCCACATGAACTGCCCCTGCCGAGCCCTGCCCAGATTGCAGAATCATGAGAAAATAAATTTAAAAGGCTTTGTTTAAGTCAGTAAGTTTAGGGTTAGTTTTTCTTTGCACAGCAACAGATAACCAAAGCAGATATCTCGTCTCAGCTTAAACACTTTTAGGAATAGAAGACTCCACGCCTCATAAAGTAATCCATTCTGTTTCTTAATAGCAACAGTTATTAGAACACTGTTCTCTATATTTAACCAAAATCTGCCTTCCCGTCACTCACAACCTGTCTCTATGGTAAAGTCAGTCTGTGTGCCTGCCACATGGCAGCTCTTCCAGTTTTTTCAAAGAGTCATGGTCTTTATTCCCCACACCTCCAGTTCCCATTGCACCCCGCACACCCAGGTTGCACATGGACAAGTCTTTTCTTTCTAGACATAAACATCTCCAACTCCCTCATGTCCTGATTCTTTCCCTACACAGCTCAAACTCTTATTAGTAAACCAGATACTACCTAGAAACACATGTGGGACCCACATCACTGTATAATAAAGTGATACCATCTAAAAGTGTGCCAGAGCGAAGTCAAGCAATCTTCTCTACGCATCCAGTTTGTCTTGTGGGTGGTGGGTATGTGTGCACATACATAAGGTTATTTTTGCTCTTGTTCTAAAATATTTCTGAGAGCATGGGAAATGGAATTACTCTGGTAGAACCACAAATTGAATAACTAGACCAGAATAAGTTATGGGCCTTGCATGTATCTGAGAGAAAATGGGTGGAATGTTCAATGTGGTCTCCCACAGCTGCAGAATGTGAGCCTTTCAGTGTTTTCTTTGCCTTTCAATACATGGCTGCTCGGAAATATTTTTCTCAGATATTTACTGACTAGGCTGAGCAAGGGGGTTGGGTTGATTGGAGGCAAGTATGGAAGCAAGGAGAAGAGCTAGGGGCTTGCTGAAAGGAAGGCTGAGGCAGGCTGAGAACCGGAATCACAGGCACAGGGAGGGCTAGGGCCTGGGTGTCCCAGTCCAGCCCTGGGGCATCCACAGAAACAGGGCCCATGGTGCTGCCTCCTGGAGGGGAAAACAAGCAGGGGGTGGGACTGTGTGACCAATGGAAGTTAAAAACTAACACAAGAACAGAAAAGCAAATGCCACTTTTTCTCACTTATAAGTGCGAGCTAAGCACTGAGTACACGTGAACACAGAGAAGGGAACAACAGACATCGGGGCCTACTGGAGGGTGGAGGGTGGGCAGAGGGTGAGGACTGATAAGCTACTTATTGGGTACTATGTTTATCATCTGGGTAATGAAATAATCTGTACACCAAGCTCCTCCTACACGAAATGTACCCATATAACAAATCTGCACATGTATCCCCGAAACTAAAAAAATAGAAAGGGTACCCGAGGGATGAATGCAGAGCCTCGGCTGCTTGCCGATGATCTTCATAGACCCTCGGGGACTCACCCATGGATCTCCATGGACCCTCGGCTACTCACCCATGGATCTCCATGGACCCTCGGCTGCTCACCCATGATCTCCATGGACCCTCAGCTACTCACCCATGGATCTCCATGGACCCTCAGCTGCTCACCCATGATCTCCATGGACCCTCGGCTACTCACCCATGGATCTCCATGGACCCTCGGCTACTCACCCATGGATCTCCATGGACCCTCGGCTGCTCACCCATGATCTCCATGGACCCTCGGCTACTCACCCATGGATCTCCATGGACCGCTGAGTCACCTACTTCAATCCATCGGTGTGCAGTTGGCAATGAGATTTTAAAGCCTCACCCCCAGGCTTTTCTCAGCTCCTGGCTTTTAGGTTCCAGTTCAGGGGACCGCAAGGATAGTCACAAGAGCAAAACAGCTGAAAAAAGAGGTGAGATAAATCTCAAAGGGGACCTGAACTTTATTCCTCCCCCTTATATCCAATCTGTGCCTGACAGCCATCCCTCGAGGCCTGGCACTGGCCTCAGAGGAAGCAGGAAACCCGACGCCAGCCGTCACCCCAGTGCCGTCCCGGTGCAGTCACGCCGCAGCGGCTCGTTTACACCAGCACCAGACTCTCAGCTGAGTGCTGTTAGCCCAGTAGACAGATGAGGAGGCAAAGGCTCGGAAGGGACACGTGACTTGCTCATAGTGGCAGAGTCGGGTTTCAAAATCAAGCCTTTCTTTGCGCTGCACCACTGGGCTGCTCTGACCGGACGGCTGCCTCTGCGCTGTGTTTCAGAAGCTAAAGGTTTTGCCCAAGGCCTGCCAGGGGTGGCCTTTCCCTCAAGTCATCAAGGCCCCAGGAGGCCTTCAAGGCACCTTGGCTCCTTTGTGATTTAGTCACCTACATGGAGAAACTCACAAACCCTCCCCCAGGACACGGCCAAGGTCATAAGAAGGTCACCATGTAGAGAGCCTCAGTGCCTTGGCATTGGTGACCCAGGTCTGGCTCACAGCTGCATTCATCCCTGGGTGGGACCGGTGCCCACGAGACTGAAGCCTTTGCCTCCACGGCTTCCAACTGGATTTGGTGTTGCCCGGGCTAGTCTCCCTCAGTCTTCTCCCCTTTGTTCCTGAGGCTTCAGGGCTCCCCAGTGGGTCTTCAGGTAAGATAATTTAATCCTTTGTTGTAAATGAAATAGGAGAAGAGATGGGCTCCATCAAGCAGCAGCTAGCCATTGTGGCTTGCATTATTTATGCGAAAGATACGAACATTTCTGCCTCTAATCCTAATGAGACGAGTTCGAGGGAGAACCCTGGGATTCATAAATTTGTCTACAGAGCAGAATTCATAATAAAGCCAAATGTGGGTGCAGAGTCAGGCATTTCTTTTGTGTGTGCAATTGTTACTTGAGAGACAAAAAGCTTCAGATGTCAGGGAAAAAGAAAGAGAAACTATTTAGAGATGAACAGATGCAAATGTAAATAGTTACTGGAAGATAAATGGAAGTGCCAGAGCCATAATGCATAGAAGGTTTCAGGGGGAAAATTACAGCTCAGATCCAGAGAGGATCAGATAAGATAGACGATAGTGCATATAATTGTATTTTACTCTAATCCTCACTGGGAAAGAGACGGAGAAAGTTTGACTTCATGTCTCCCTCCCCGGGTCTTCAGTTTCCCTCCAGTAACACTCAATTTGGAGTTACTCCTTTGATGTTGATCCCCAAACAACTGTCCACTTTTCAGCCGTCCCATGAGCCTGCCCATCATGGCCCTCACCTGGACAGCTGTAGTCAGTCTTCTGGAGCTCTGCTGTTTACCCCCATCTGTTCCCGGGCTGCCAGGACCACCTGGCTGGACACATATCACGTTCTACCTCTCTGGACTGCCTGTCTCCTTCACCTTGGGCCAGTTTTACATATCTGCTTTAACTCTCTCCCCCAACAAGCAGACATATATGTGTGCACATGCCCATCCACACAACACCCAGATACACACAACGCTGTATACACACACACAACAGACACACACACACACACACACACCCCCATCTTTTTTGGTACACTCTGGAATGGTAACCTGATCCAGAGATCTGATTTCTCCCTTTGCCTGTTTATGACCCTGGAACCTGGTATGAACCACCCTGCCTTGCAGGTTTGCAGAAATTCTTCCACCCCACGGGCTGTCTCACTGTGCAACTGTAAACATGTTCCTGTCTACAACTGGGGACGCAGAAAGGTTGAAGTCAAGCTCATTCTGAACAGTAGAGACACAAAGCTGGAGTATTTTGAGCAGTCTGAAGAGAGACCCCTTCCCAAAGACAACTCACCTAATGCTTGTCGTGGGGTCTGAAATTGCAGCATGAATGAATCACAACACTGACATTTTAATCGAAGAGTAAATCTATGTGTGCATAACATAAAATACGTAAAAGGGATTTTTAACATTTGTCTCTAGGGACTTCAGCAATGTGCTCTTAGATGATGCGTTAGGGCTCCGTTGTGGCCTCAGTGACTCTTCAGATCTGTCTGTTGGAGAGGGTTCCGGCAGCACGTTGGTGGGAGGGGTAGGACCGGGTCACTTCCTCATAGATGTGAGTGCATTGGTTACTCACATCTATGAGGACTGGGAGGACAATGTGCTTTTTCAGCTACGGAGAGCTTGAAAACTCTAGAAGCTGGACGAATTCAGTTCGTTTCTCTCAAGGAAACAATGGCACAATGTCTAGAATATGCCGTGGCAGGAGTTAGCTTTTACTACATTCACGCAGATCGTTTGTCAAGACATTCATGGGGCTCCAGAGAGCACCTGGTGGTTCTCAGTAGTGTGATCAGCATGGGGCCACCATCCTTGTCGCAACAGGAGACAAGGCAGAGAATGGGATTGGGAGTCAGCAAGAACTGGGTTCAATTCACTTAATGGTGTACAGTCTTGAATTAGTAACTTAACCTCCTGACACTCGGTTTTCTTGTCCGTCAAGTGAGGCTGATAACAGAGCCTACCTCAGTCATTTGGCCAATGAACCCAGTGAACAGAGTGCAATCATCAACACAGCACGCAGTAAATGGGGCCACACCTTTCATCAGCAAGCGCGCTCAGTCACTAAGTTTCCTGAATCATCCACAATAGAAACTCTCCCCAAATCGATCATCTTAGGAAATTGATGAGTCAAAGGCATTAATAATATTACTAATGACAAGTCATAGACAAACACCTTGGAGAGGCTTCAGGCTCTGGGGAACGGAACAGCAGGAGGAGCACAGGCTGAGGGAAGAGGGGGTCCCCAGGGGGATACCGACACCCTGACACCTTGTCTCAGGGTGAATGGTTCTCACTCCAGTCAGGGGGGGATGAGAGTGGTCCTTCATATTTATTTTAAGAGATTTATTCTATGGGAATGGTATTTACACTCTTTAACAGTGGACTTTCCAACCACATTTTGGAACTCCAAGGCAAATAGCCTAACTTAGAAAGGTCCCGGGTGCCTGGTTTTGAATACTGATCTGCCTCTTCCTAGCTCTCTGCCTTTGGCAAGGAACTGGGCCACCTCAGCGCCCCATGTATGGAAAGGGGGTACCTGTCACTCCTGCCACATAGGACCTTGTGCGAGCTAGACAAGTTCACCCCTGCAGAGTGCTTACGACAGCACCTAATATTCAGTGAGCGGCTATCATTATGATTGCTGTATTGTGTTCGTTCAAACAATATTTTCAGAGTGCCTATTTTGGTGCATCAGGCGCTGGGCTCAGTGCTAGGGTGGTCCTCACCCTCTGCCTCCAGGGAGCTTGCGCTCTTCCAGGCCTGTGCCTCCACTTCTGACCTGGGCCTTGTCCCCACTCAGGCTACTCAATGACACTCGGGGCATTCTCTCCCCTCTGTGTGCTGCATCATCCACTTTTCCCTGTCCATGAGATTACTCCCATCTGCACAAAAACATGCTATCGTGTCCTCCGTATTCATAAAAACTCCCTTGACCCACATTCTCCTCCAGCAACTAACCCATTTTGCCACTTCTCTTTGTAACATGTTTCCTCAAATAATTGTCCTCACTCAAGGTTTCCCCTTCTTTCTGGAACCCTCTCCGTTTAGGCTTTTACCCCTATCCTGTCTGTGGAGCTGCTCTCTTGAGGTCACCAGGGACCCTCATATTGCTAAAACCAACAACCAACCCTTAGCCATCTTCTCTAATCTGCCAGCAGCTTTTGACCTAGTGATCACTTCCTCCTTCCTGGTGCACTTTCTCCCCTCATCCTCCGACGCCAGGCTGCTCCCAGTTCCCTCCTGCCTCAGTAGAGCACCTCCTCAGTCACTTCGATGGTTCCGTTCAAATCCCCAACCTCTTCATGTTGGAACAGTTGAGTCCCCTCTCCTCTCTATCCACATTCACTGCCTAGAGATGTCATTCAGCCTCATGGCTTGAGGCATCCTCTGTGCTGACAGCTCCCTAATCTGTAATTCTAAACTGTTCCTCTTCCCTTAACTCCAGTCCCCTATCCAACTGCCTACTCAACGCTTTCATTCAGAGGTGTAGTTAATATCTGGTATGGCTTGGATATTTGCGCTCTCAAATATCACATTGAAATGTGATCTCCAATGCTGGAGGGGGCCTGGAGGTGTTTGAATCATGGGAATCGATCCTTCATGAATGGCTTGGTCCTCTCCATGAGTAATGAGTGAGTTCTCACTCTATGAGTTTGGGCACATTGGCTCATGCCCATAATCCCAGCACTTAGGGAGGCCAAGGCAGGTGGATCACCTGAGGTCAGGAGTTCAAAACTCGCCTGGCCCACATGGTGAAACCCCGTCTCTACTAAAAATACAAAAATTAACTGGGTGTGGTGGCAGGCACCTGTAATCCCAGCTACTTGGGAGACTGAGACATGAGAATTTCTTGAATCTGGGAGGCGGAGGTTGCAGTGAGCCAAGATGACGCCACTGCACTCCAGCCTGGGCAACAGAGCAAGACTCCATCTCAAAAATAAAAAATAGGCCGGGAATGGTGGCTCACACCTGTAATCCCAGCACTTTGGGAGGCCAAGGTGGGCAGATCATGAAGTCAGGAGATTGAGACCATCCTGGCTATCACGGTGAAATCCTGTCTCTACTAAAAATACAAAACATTAGCTGGGCATGGTGGTGAGCGCCTGTTGTCCCAGCTACTTGGGAGACTGAGGCAGGAGAATGGCGTGAACCCAGGAGGCAGAGCTTGCAGTGAGCGGAGATTGTGCCACTGCACTCCAGCCTGGGCGACAGAGCGAGACTCCATCTCAAAAAATAATAATAATAATAAAATAAAAATAAAATAACAAATAAAAGAGTGTGGCACCATTCCCCACTCCCACCATATGATGTGCTCCTCCTGCTTCACATTCTGCCATGACTAAAAACTCCCTGAGACCTCTTCAGAAACCAAGCAGATGCTGGCACCATGCT